CTATATCTATCTATCTAAATATATATATATATATATATATATATATATATATATATATATATATATATATGTATATATATATATGCACATACATATGTATGTATGTATATATATATATATATATATATATATATATATATATATATATATATATATATATATATGTTTATATATGTACAGAGCGAGGGAGACGTATCAGTATATATACATATATATATACATACATACATACATACATGTATATATATATATATATATATATATATATATATATATATATATATACATGTTATATATATATATATATATATATATATATATATATATATATATATATATATATATATATATGAATGAGCGTATGTGTGCATTTGTGTGTACATAAATGCATATGAATGCATACATATTAGTTTATACATATATCATATCAGATTTCACATATGTGTATTTATAGAGATGCATACTTATATAAGCATCAATAACATCAGCTTTTGATTAAACATTTTGGACACTAAGCCTTAAACACACACACACACACAAATATACATATATATACATATACACATAGATATACACATGCATAGAAAAGTTAACAAATAAATATGCATGCACACACAAACCTACACCTATATGTATGTATATACTTTGACAAGTGAAAACATCCCACGTGTGCAGACGACGCTTGGCAACTCTCTTGTGTTGGGACTTGTTGTGCTACGTCACTATGACGACACGGAAGTGAATGGCATGTGATGATATTCATGTTATAATCGTGTATATCTTTATATTGAAGAAAAGAGGTAATTAATATAATTGTTGATTATCTACCTGTGTTTGTTTGCTCCTTCGAACCCTGCTCCCACACTATCTTTATGTACTGATTAGCTAATTTGCTAAGCACTACTATCATCGTGACAACATTCAACTATTTATGTGGACTGAAGAGCGCGAATGAGTTGGTGATTTGTAGTGTATTACCCGTTAACTTAACAACAAATCAAATGGTTGATGTGATTACGACGCCAAAGTGATTCTCTGTTATCTCTACCATTCGTATTTATAGTAAAAAAATGGTAATGAATGTAGTAATAGAAATGGAGTCATTCCCAGTGGCACTAAATTGTCACTATCATTGAAGAATATACGCATGTGTGTATGTATATAATTATCTATCAACGCACATACACACACACACGCACACACACACACACACACACATATATATACATTGCATATATACGCATATATATATATATATATATATATATATATATATATATATATATATATATATATATATATATATATATATATATGCATACATATACACTCACACACACACACACACAAACACTCACACACACAAATATATACATATATGTGTGTGTGTGTATATACATATGTGATTGATTGATTATTCAAAATTATCTGCCGCTTCAACAGCTAACGTCATTAGCGGCGAACACCTTGTTAGTATACATATGTGAGTGTTTGAATATATGCGCACAATCACACACATAACACACACACACACGTATGTATGTTTATGCGTATATATATGTATATACATTTGATATATATACATCTGTATGTAAAACATATTAACGTGCATGCATATATATATGTGTATATATATGTACATATATATAGATAAATACATGTGCACAACACACACACACACACATATATATACAGTATGTATATATATACTTACACATATGCACACACACATATGCATTTATATGCATATGTATCATATATATACACACGCATGTATATAAACCTGTATATATGTGTATATGAGCAAATATTTACATATTTGCATGTGTGTATGAGAATTAGAGTGATAAAGAGGAACATGAAATATATAAAAAGGGATTTTCACGGCTTCATAGCCTCCCTCCGTGACGTCATCGTGACGTAGCACCACAAGTTTCAACTCGCGATAGTGCCAAGTGTAATGTGATAAAGTGTATTGAAATTATATAAACAAATATGTGTGTGTGTATTATAATATATAAAGAAATACATAAATATATGTATTTATATATTTATATATATTACACAAAAAGTGGTAGCGCACACAAAACCATGTATACACCTAAAACCATAGATAGTCACAAATGTATCGATATAAGACATGAATACATATACGTGCATGCATACTCAGTTACGTATAAGGATACTTAGTTATCTGTTCTCTGTTTTTGTATCTGTGGATAAAAATCTGTGGATATGTATATATGTTATTTAGATTAATTGTGTTGACGAAAGGTTTAGTTGACTGGTTACTGTTTACTCATTATCTTGAAATATTAATTCAAATACCGTAATAAAATTGTACTACACAAATATGTAGACACTAACACACGCCTGCACAACACACAGATATACTGTATTAATATATGCATATATACATATATATATATATATATATATATATATATATATATATATATATATATATATATATATATATATATATATATATGTATGTATGTATGTATGTATATGATATGCATTCAAACAGAAGCATACACATACATCTATCCGTATATCTTTATTCATCTTTCTATACGCTCTCGTCTCTATTTATTTACATATGTGCGTATATGCATGCATAAGGCTGGTATACTGTAACCCATTTCAAGCCTTTTGGTTAAGATTAAAGTTTAGTATCCGTTCTTATCGGCTTGACTACCAAGGCGCGTACAGCTGGGATATCACGTCCCAACTTGTCTGGCGTCGGAGCCCTATAAATAGCGGACAAGGAAGAAGGAACTTATTGCACTTTATTGCGCAAAATCATTAGTGTTTGTGCTTTATTAATAATTACTGGATTAATATTAAGGTAAGGAAAATGTTATAGAGACATTAAGAGACACTGTGTAACGAAATTGCATGATATACTGTAAACTACATGCTCGTGAAATCACATTTCCGAATCTTCCGGATATCTCCATTAATGTCAGTAAGAGGCTAAGGGTTTTATAAAACAATAATGTAAATAACTTCTCAGAATTATATTGTAACCGGTTTTTGGTAACTAGAATATGTTTGTTGATAAAACTAACATTTAGTTCTGTGTTTCGCAGAATACACAGCCAATCCTTTTCAACGAACTTCTCCTCGGGTGTTGATAAAACTAACATTAGTTCTGTGTTTTGCAGAATACACGGCGAAGAATAATCAAATCAATTAGGAGAGACTTGAAGGCCTCCAAAGCACGGTGACTGTCGCCCTCACAGCCAATCCTTCTCAACGAACTTATCCTTGGGAACATGGCTGATAAAACACCACCTTACATTCCGGAAGATTGCCTTCCCGTGGAGGAAGTGACTGGTCTTCGATCTGAAGTTGTGCGAACCAACTCATTCTTCTGCCAGTCTCTGCTGCGGGAAATGTCAGAAAATTCATTGATTTTGCTTCCGAACGCAAAGATCTCGAATGAAGATTTAGCCAACTGTAACAGTTACTCTTCCGAATTGAAAGGAAATTCGAGCGTGACGCCGGATTCGCTATTCAAGCTAATAAGACGATACAGTGGCATGGAGAAGCCTTCAGTAGCTGGAAATATGTTTAATGATCAAATAATCAAAATGCCTAGCAACCTGTCTTCAGATATTTCATTAGAGAAAACGTCAAAGGAAACGGCGCCTGAACTGCCGATGAAAAGATTCTGCAGTACAGATACAAACATTTCCGCCAAAGATGTGCAAGTTATGTTAAGTCAAGCTCCGTCTAAAGAATTCTCCCTGAAGAGGTCCAGGAACATGTCAACTGAAGAATCTGAAGCTTCATTATATAAGAGAGCTAGGGTCTCAACAGAGGAAGTTGGTTCTGCAGAACAGGGAAAGGAAAGCTGCATTGTTTCACCCACTTTGTCACCAGCAACACAAGACATGCCATCAGAAGGGTCTATGGCAGAAACACAAGTAAAATCCGTCTCTCCTAATGAAAGTAAGTCAGGTCAAGCAGCTGAGAAAAAGGTAGTAACATCTGTTCTAACTGCAGGATCTGAGAAAATGTCTCAGAGTTCGTCATCTGTGCCAGATCAACAGCAGAATACATCCTCTATAGCTTTTGTTAAAGGGAAAACTTCAGTAGATAAATATTCTGAAGGTGACAGATGTTCAATTTGTGGGAAAACAAACTGCCCTTTAGATCCTAAACTGACACCAAAAATAAGTCCTATTCCCATGCAACAAAAGTCTTTTTGGGGGAAATTAAAGTCATCACGAAAGTCAAAGCAATCCAAGCTTAGTGTTACGATGGTGAAGAGGACAAAGACTACATCGAAACGTTACATTAATACCGTTACATTGGCTAAACGCATCGCTAACCACACACCACTTCATGTCTTTAAGTTAAAGGTAATGTAAACTTTTATTGTGCATACCTAATTGCTTCTATATCAAATATTTGATAAATTATGCTTTAGTAGTTACAAAATGTATCGAAAAGTTCAACAAGTTGTTATTGCTCAATAGGGTCAGCTCTTTAAAGCAGTGGAAGCTGGAGATATGGTTAGAGTGCAGGAACTAATGCAAGATACAGGAGCAACTGTGAGGAAAAAACAAGACCAGATGCACACTCCTTCATGCTGCAGCGTCTCACAACCAACCGGATGTGGTTATGTTTCTGCTGAACTTTATCAGTCCCAGTGTTACTAACAATGAGGGACAGACCCCAGCTCATGTGGCCGCTGAAAAGGGTCACACACAAGTGCTGAATCTTTTAGTGCGTGACCCTGATTTTGAAGTCGACACAAGAGATAATCGTCATAACACAGTAAAGTCCCTGGTAAGTATTAATGATGGAATCCTAGATTCTACAGCAGTATTAAAATCAGACAAGTTTGAATCCGAGATTCTAGCATTCAAACCTAAACTGTAGTGTACTAGAATGTAGCTGATTGTGCTATAATCAGTTTCTTTTTAATTTTAAGCTTGGTGGCCATCTGAAGGAAACAAGAAAGAAGCCGCAAGGCTTGTGGAACTTGGTGCAGACCCAGATAGTCATGGTGGAAAGCTGGTGAACGGGATGTTGGCACGAGAGCTTGGAGTCACTACACCTCGCCTCCTGGCCAATGCCTTGAATATGGAATGGGCTGTTACCATGTTAGCCAAGGTAATTATCTTATATCACATATTTCCTTAAGTTGCCAAGAGTGTCTTAACCCATTAGCCACATTTGGCAAGAATAGATGCCATACCCACTTTGAGACACGTGTATTTATTGTATTTACACATAGATGGCTCCACAAGTTCTTAATCACCAAACAGCCAGTTATCAAGAACTACCTATTTCACCTGTTTACCCTTTTCCTTCACTTTTGGAAAGGTTTTTTTTTTTGTATCATTTCATTGTCTAAAATATTCTAGTGACAATTTGGTAATCATAGCATCAATAACAATAATAACAGTATCGATAGCAATGGTATTAATTTTCCCGCCAATGCAATGAATGGGAAAATCAGGGTCGGTAACTAGGGCCTACTGATAGACTCCTTGCCGGCTGAGTACATGTGCAGCCATCTGTATGTAACATAATTCACTAAAAACTACAGGGGACAGAAGATAAATCCGTGGCGAATGGGTTAAGAATAAAACGCATATATGACGTAATGTAAGCTTTGGAAAACTTACATTGACTCCAAATGTTTCAGAAAGCAAGAAATGATAAGAAAACCGATGAAACTGGCTTACTGACATCAGCCGCCACAAACTCAGCACAACTTAAAGTGTGTTACGTATTTTTTATACTTTAGAAATGAATTGAATTTTTTTCTTCTTTGCTTTTTCTACTTAAAATTCTATCATTATTATTTATTTGTTTATTTAATTATTATTATTTATTTATTATTATTATTTTTTTAAGAAAATTTCTTTATCACTTTCCATTCCACTAAGGACAGACATCTTTCATTTCAGGTGCCCACACGACAGTTTCACGTGAGACATGCAACAGCAATTCAAGGAGGTGCTGATGTGTACAAGATGGACAAAGAAGCACGAGGCTTTGTTCGCATTTTCAACTTCAGTTCTTTTGAGGACAGATCCGACCTGAACCTTCAGCAACTCGACTACGACGCTCGCATCATGTCAGATGTATTTGATAACATGGGCTACATGTGTAAAACACACTCGTCACTCACGGCTCAGCAAACTAAGGAAGTCCTGAAAAATATTCGGGATGCTGATGAGCTAACAGGCGTCGGATGTGCTATATTTGTCATTTCTGGTTATAGTGTAAATGGCAGGAAAGTTCTTACGTCTGACATGAAATCTGTAGACATCGACTATATCTTAAATCTCTTCAAAGATTCCCAATGTCCTCAGCTCAAAAACAAGCCCAAACTTTTCATCTTTAACTTGTACAAGCTGAGTGAAGTGATCACGACCTCAAGCAGTGAACCTCTAAAAGTGAAGAGATTAGCAGATCCCCTCAACGACATGGTTTGCATTTATTCCAACAGCATTGGTCTAAACTGCATCCCAAATGGGAAAGGAACAGCTTTCAACTGGTGTTTGTGTCGCACTTTGGCAGAGCATGCCGCTGACCAGGAACTTTGTGATTTTTACAGAGAATTCCTGAAAAATTATAACGCGAGCTCTCCTACTTTCTCACCCGAATTGAGGTACTTTGGCTTCACCAAGAAATTCTTCTTTAATCCTATGTAAATTTAAACGATATATATGCATAATATATGTAATACATATATATCATACAGGAAGATTGTTTGATAAATAACTTCATATACACACATGATTTATTTATCATAACCATGCAAATAATGTACTTAATATATCTAGTCATGCAAATGCTGTACATTGTAAGGTTTCAGCGTAAATACATCTATCATTTGTATTTAGCATTTTCATATCCTGATCTGTAGATCTCTAGGCTTATTATATTTCTGTAAGAAGATTACAAGAATGAAAAACTTCCTATCCAGTTAAAGATTATTGGGCAAAAAATGATTAGCAAAATCAAAAGTTTATTCCATATAACACACATGAAATTGATTGTAGTTTTAATGCATGAAGGTGATATGGACTGTAATTTTACTATGTATATATTCAGAAAGATAGATTTGTAGATTTCGATAGGGTTACAGATATGCTAAACGGATGCAGGATGTGCTTTATTTGCCATATCTGGCTATAATGTGAATGACAGGAAATTTCTGGGAAGAGGCTCTTTGTTTTCAGGCACGCGTGATGACTGCAATTTCCAAGAAGTTGCGCATGACGAAGCACCTACCTTAATTATAAAGCAACTCTATAATTAGTGTCACCTCCACCGCAGGTCGTCCGCTGTGTTCCCGCGCACAGCCATATTTTCCGATGGCAGTCAGGGTGTCGCGAAATGTCTCGTGATGGGAAGCGAGACAAGCTCCGCCCACTGCTGGGACATAATGGGAATGACCGCGTTTTACGGCTAGATGTTTTACTGTATTCGTTATTTTTTTAACTGGTACAAGCTGAGTGAAGTGATCACGACCTCAAGCAGTGAACCTCTAAAAGTGAAGAGATTAGCAGATCCCCTCAACGACATGGTTTGCATTTATTCCAACAGCATTGGTCTAAACTGCATCCCAAATGGGAAAGGAACAGCTTTCAACTGGTGTTTGTGTCGCACTTTGGCAGAGCATGCCGCTGACCAGGAACTTTGTGATTTTTACAGAGAATTCCTGAAAAATTATAACGCGAGCTCTCCTACTTTCTCACCCGAATTGAGGTACTTTGGCTTCACCAAGAAATTCTTCTTTAATCCTATGTAAATTTAAACGATATATATGCATAATATATGTAATACATATATATCATACAGGAAGATTGTTTGATAAATAACTTCATATACACACATGATTTATTTATCATAACCATGCAAATAATGTACTTAATATATCTAGTCATGCAAATGCTGTACATTGTAAGGTTTCAGCGTAAATACATCTATCATTTGTATTTAGCATTTTCATATCCTGATCTGTAGATCTCTAGGCTTATTATATTTCTGTAAGAAGATTACAAGAATGAAAAACTTCCTATCCAGTTAAAGATTATTGGGCAAAAAATGATTAGCAAAATCAAAAGTTTATTCCATATAACACACATGAAATTGATTGTAGTTTTAATGCATGAAGGTGATATGGACTGTAATTTTACTATGTATATATTCAGAAAGATAGATTTGTAGATTTCGATAGGGTTACAGATATGCTAAACGGATGCAGGATGTGCTTTATTTGCCATATCTGGCTATAATGTGAATGACAGGAAATTTCTGGGAAGAGGCTCTTTGTTTTCAGGCACGCGTGATGACTGCAATTTCCAAGAAGTTGCGCATGACGAAGCACCTACCTTAATTATAAAGCAACTCTATAATTAGTGTCACCTCCACCGCAGGTCGTCCGCTGTGTTCCCGCGCACAGCCATATTTTCCGATGGCAGTCAGGGTGTCGCGAAATGTCTCGTGATGGGAAGCGAGACAAGCTCCGCCCACTGCTGGGACATAATGGGAATGACCGCGTTTTACGGCTAGATGTTTTACTGTATTCGTTATTTTTTTAACTGGTACAGTGATACTGGTATTTTGCAATATAATATCCTAGGTGGCTTTTGCTATCTTATGGTAGGTTGCATGAAAGTAACCGAGGTAAGAGGAATCCATCTGGCAAATAGAAGTTGTATTAACAAGGCTGAGAATTGAGCACACAAGACTGATTCATGGGCCAATGATGGCTATGAGTGAAGCACGCTGTAAGGATGCCAAGAGCCATTAACGGTCGCACATATAGTGGAAAGATGTGCAACATTCTCAGACCAAAGACGAAGGTACTTGTCTCCCCATATACATTGAAAAATGTATTGGGGGAGGATTGTGACATAGAAGGTCTTATTAGTTTACTTAGGGAAACTAATATTTTCAATAAATTTTAGTTATGCATAATGTTTATGCAATAGTTTTTAGACATTTAGAGCATAATGTTTATGCTTTGATTTTTAATATGATATTTATTGTTATTTATGACATTTATTGATAATTTTTTTACGTTTTAAATATTTTAATATTTCAGTCTAACAAGGTGTTCGCCGCTAATGACCTTCGCTGTTGACGCGGCAAATAATTTTAAATAATCAATCAATCCGAGAAAGTATTAAAGAAGGTGAGTAATGAACTCTTCCTGGAGAGCTCTACTTGCAACTTTCTAATGATACCTGCAAGGCCCTCAGCGATGCAGTTTAAGTCACTGTTTCCATGCAGGTATAACGTGGCAGTAGTTTTGGCACGTGCCGTTAGCGCACTTGATTGCGGCCTCCTTCCTTCTCCCTGAGTAGCCACATATGCGGATATGCATATATGATCTTGATTATATGAGCAATTCTTTGATGTTCGTTTTGTTTGTTTTGTAGTGAGATATCCCGTGTCCTGCTTTCGCGTCAAGGCTGGAGGAGAGAGGAGAATGCCAGCCAGGTATGCTGGAACGTCGGTTACAGCTGAACAAAGTATGGAATTACTCAGTGTTAAGGCAGTATATCAGGTATGCAATTGCATAGGTTAGTGTTCCATGCACAAACATGCATAGTAGCAAAGCCAGCATCTATTTTGAATTTTGTGAGGAGCTCATGTATATATGATGGTTGTTGCCTGCGTTCTATCTCTCTTTCTCACGCAATAGGAACTGAATAAGCGGTAAACATTTATCGAGTTGCCAGATGGATTCCTCTTACCTCGGTTACTTTCATGCAACCTACCATAAGATAGCAAAAGCCACCTAGGATATTATATTGCAAAATACCAGTATCACTGTACCAGTTAAAAAAATAACGAATACAGTAAAACATCTAGCCGTAAAACGCGGTCATTCCCATTATGTCCCAGCAGTGGGCGGAGCTTGTCTCGCTTCCCATCAGTAAGGAGGACGACCCATCAGCTGCTCTTCAGTATGAACTCTGCAGCTACCCAGCATCCCTTTTTGAATCAACTGTCCTCCTCAGAGAGGCCCACAAATCTGCCCTTGGTAATGCAATGTGGGAGTATGTAAAAGACTCGCAACCAGATTCATTGCCATCAACAGGCATTTACTTTGTGTTTGATGGAGGAGCTCTCATTCAATGAATTCCCTGGCCCAGAAAGGAATCAGTTGAACATATATGTCAGTTGTATGTGAACTACGTGACTCGGAGATACTCGAAAGCAATCATTGTTTTATATGGCTATTCCTCTGGACCAACAACCAAAGACAATGCGCATTTGCGCAGAACAAAGGGCTGCTATGGCCCTGAAGTGCACTTTCCAGGTCAAACTGTCATTTCTTTGAAGAAAGCTGAGATTTTATCAAACCCAGCGAACAAAAAGAGGTTCATTAACATTTTGTCTGATAGACTTGAGAGAGCAGGTTGTTTTGTTGACCATGCAAGAGGAGATGCCGATACTCTAATTGCAATGACTGCAGTGAAATCTGCAGAAACCTTTGACACTGTTCTGGTTGGTGACGATACGGACCTACTGGTCCTGCTTTGCTATCATGCAAAAAATGTGCAGAGGGCACTATACTTCCGGCCAGAACCAAAATTGAACTAAATATGGGACATTCAAGAACCAAATGATATATTAAAGGAAACCACATGTGAAAACATTCTGTTTACCCACGCCATAACTGGCTGTGACACGACATCCAGGCTGCATGGGATAGGGAAACATGCAGAGATATTTCTTTGTGGCGCTGACATCCGAACCGACCAAATTATTGTAGCTGGAGAGAGAGCCATTGTGTCCATGTATAATGGACAAAAGATTGACACCTTGGGCAAGCTTAGATGCCAGCGTTTCAAGGAAAAGGTGGTAAAATGTTCAAATGAAATCAAGGCACAACCTTTGCCACCAACATCTAACGCAGCTAAGTGCCACTCCCTGCGTGTCTTTCTTCAAATAAATGAATGGATGGAAAAAGTCTAGATGCTACAAAGTGTGGGTGGAGGGAGAAGGATGGGAAGTTCTGGCCAGTGAAAACAGACTTGCCTCCAGCTCCTAACTACCTACTAGAAGTCATACACTGTAGTTGCAAAACTGGTTGCAATACTCTAAAATGCACCTGTCACAAACATGGACTTGAGTGTACTTTCGCATGTGGTGACTGTAAAGGCTCTAACTGTTCCAATGCTGGGGATTCACAGGTCAATGATGCTGAATCTGATGAATGAACAGTCGCAAACTATATAATTTTATGCAAAGTATGTCATAAACGTTTGGCAGCTTATAACCAGGATTTCATCATAATATTAATTACTTAATTGAGCCTAATTTTACCTGAATGGTAGGTTTTCATTGTGATTTATTGAACTCCTAACCATGAATACGTCAGAATGGAAACTTTCTCCTGAAATAAGTTTTTTTTCAGGAATCGAGATAACTAATTACCATAATTATGAATATGTAATTTGCCTAATTACCAACTTAGGCACCAAATTTTATAATGAAACATTTCTAGAAACACATCAGGTGTTTTGAGTGACAAAAAGGTGGTTTATTTGATAACATCCTCATGATTTTTGGTGATTCAGCTGGGTCCTTAGATGTTCTAAGCTAATTAACATAAATTAGCATATTTTGACCCCTTCCACCCCTTCTTCATTTCTCTATTTTTAATATGCTATTCCTGGGTTATCAATGAATAGAATACAAGAGAGAAACACTATTGCAATTAGTGGTGGGTATGACCACCCTTTTGACTGGCCTATAACTATTACCCCGGGCCTTTGACAACATCCTTAGTAAAAAGAAGCGTTTCACCGCGACAGAAGGTTGCTAGTTGACTGAGGGCGATAATCGGGGGGAGCTGTGCTTCTGATGGCGCGTATGTATATATATATATATATATATATATATATATATATATATATATACATATATATGTATATATATATATGCATGCATGTGTGTATGTGTATGTGTGGGTATGCGTGTGCGTATGCGTGTGCGTGTGCGTGTGGGTGTGGGTGTGCGTGTGTGTGTGGGTGTGCGTGTGCGTGTGCGCGGGCATGTATATGTGGATGTGGATATGGATATGGATGTGTATATATTGCATATATTGATTATTTGTACTGCATTGTATCTGTATTTCACGACATATTTACGCCAGCCTATAAAATGGCTGAATGATTTTTATAACTACCCACTGACGAAAGGAGAACAAGAAAACGATGATTGCGTCTTGTCACGTTACATTTAATTGATCGACATAAAGCGTCTTTATATATTTATTCCAGATGGTTTACCTCCAGTTTGTTTACGGAATTTGCAATGGTTTTGATGTACATGGGAACAATATTAACAGTAAGGATGATAATAATAAAATTAAGGACAATAATGA